GAGGGCTAACTCAGTACCCCTGTTCGTTTAATTGAGTTGAGTGCTCTACCCGTGAATTCAGTTATTCCCACATCCTCAGGGAATTCTATCCTCAAGTTTTATTTTTACACCCCAATCAAAGTGCTGTCTTTAGCAATTAAATTTTCATTCACATTAAAAAATTGAAAAAATTCGTCTTCAGAATGAATGAATTTACATAATATAAATTATATTTTATTTATTTTTCATGATAGCCTGACTCCGTTTTTCCTGAATAGGAAATATTATCTTCGCATTCAATCATTCACTGCAATGGATTTTTCCCATCCTTTTATATTTTCATAATGGAACCAGATATTCAATATATTGATAAGGCTATGTAATACTGATATTCGCGGCCCGAATGCTCGACGAAACTTCAGACAATTTTTTTTCTCCACAACGTTACTTTTCACCTGTTTATTTCTAAAAAAACCAACGATTTATCTTTTCAATCTAAACCCGTTCTAATAGCGATAAAATATCCCGATGGAAACACAAGATATGTAAACAGGGCGAGTCAATATTTCCTGTCGAATGCATGTCACAGCGCCCTAAACAAACAATAAACAATTAGGAGGGCTTCACATGTCCGATTGTCATTACCAATGCGATGTCAATTAAAACTCCATTTTCCCCCGATTCCCTCATGGACAATAAATTAATCAAATATTCAAGAAGAAATTAAAATAAATTTTTATAACGATTTTATAAATATAAACATGAATAGACGATGATTATTCATAAAAATTTCTTGGCCAGTATTTGACAGCTGGAAAAATTTTAGAGATTCAGAATTTCCGAGTGACAATTTGGATTAGAGAACTGAGCGTTTTAATCGTCCGTCCTTCTGGATGAAAATGGCGGAGTATTCACGGTTGTCTACACACTTTTGTTGTAAATACTTGTCTTGCTGTATTTTTTTTATTTTATTCTCCCTCTCGTCACTGATGTACCCGAGAAATTCTGGCGTAACACCTACATAACTGCTCAATGGTTTGGGTGGTGCTGAAAAGTTTCTTCAGTATGCCTGACCAAGTTCACACAAATGTGCTCTGGTTTTGCCGTAAAATCCGTAAGCGAGAAAGTTCTTCCAATTTTTTACTATTCTCTGTTTATCCCGGATTTTCTTTCAAAGCTTCTTTTGCGTAAATCGTATCCCAGTAAGTGACTTGGTTTGCGTATTATCTTTTCGTTCTGCATACGCAGAATTCGTTTAAATTGCAAATAGAAGATATTTTTACACGGGCTGTTAAACAATCGACCCTCATCGCTTTGTGATTATATCGATTGCTCTGTGGATTAATTAATTAATTAATTAATATGGGTATCGCTCTCAGAGGAGGACACTCGATAATTGTTTAACGGATAATACTCCAGCTGGGAGAATACCCTCACACTGCCATTTACCAAAAATAAATACTTCCAATTGCAACTCGAATTATCGATTCTAATCTTTTTCAACGTTCAGTCAATCGTACTGTTAACAGAAATCCGATTACTCGTTTTTTAACGACTGATACAAAAGTTCATTTAAAATACAATTTAATTCTCGTGGCACAAGTCAAACGGTGACACCACAACTTTCTCTAACTTTCGTTATTAAACAGCATACTGTATTAAACATTAAATAAAAGGTGAAATATACCTCCACTTGAAATTTATTGCCCACTATGCAACTTGGAAATACTATATTAAAGAACATCAATCCAGTTAAATTGGAAAATAGATATTATTACGATTTTTTTTTTGTTTTGATGAAAATAAATTTTTTTGTGAAAATTCGAGGGATAACTCGTGAGTTCTGACTAGCGGGCCTCTCTATCAGTCCAAAAAAGTATTGAATTCAATTGAGAGATGAAAATATTTTTTTTTTGAAAATCGATGAAAATAATTTTTTTTCGAAAATCGATGAAATTTTTTTTTTTTTGAAATTCATTTTTTTTTGAAAATTCTCGGGAAAACTCATGAGTTATGAGTAGCGGATCTCTCTATGAGTCCAAAAAAATATTGCATTCAATTGAGAGGTGAAAATATTTTTTTTCGAAAATCGATGAAAATAATTTTTTTCCGAAAATCGATGAAAATAATTTTTTTTTGAAAATCATTTTTTTGTAAAAATTCTCGGGAAAACTCGTGAGTTCTGAGTAGCCGACCCTTTCTATGCCCAAAAAATATTCTCCAAAAGTGCAATTATAGTTGCATTGCCAGGGGTGATAGTTTCGTAATTAATTCCCGAAAAAGAGAAAAAAAAATCCCATAATGTTTATCGCACCGTTACCATACCTCAGATATTGTTTATTGAAAAATGCGAAACTTCATATGGCATTAATTTCATAAAAGTTTCAAAGGGTTGGAAGAGATTCGCGATTAAAAAAGTTCGCAGTGTTTATTATTAAATAATATTTCCAAGCTTTTGAATTATCTTGTCCCCTCCCCTTCCGGTTGGTTGCACTGGAAGTTTGTGAATCAAATTACCACGCGGTTATACTGGTATTCAAGAGCTATGCATATCCTATACATATGCAGCAGGAAGATTACCTCGAGGAAGAGATGGACACGATCTTGGGAATTTGAATCTCGGATATTTCATAATCGATTTACGTTCCTACTTCAATGCTCTTACAGAATATGTACGGAGATATCCGTAATAACCCGCGCCCCGTCCGGAAGTCTCGCTTCAACGAGAGCATTGAATTTCACATTCAAACACATGAAATATTAAGTCGCATTACATTTCACCCTCTCCTCTGCCTCCTCACTCCACTTTCGCGTTTTACTTCTTCCCGGGGATTCCCGAAAGTCCGCCCTAAAAAGGCAAACCTCACGCTTGAATTATTACACCCTCGGCTTCCGGTCAATTTTCGCGTTACAATTTTCTCGAGATCTAGCAACTCATCCTCAAAAATGAAAAAAAAAACAACACTCAATTCGGTATCTGACATGTCTCAGCTTTCATTTCCCCGCAAATCCCGGTATAACAAAAAGCGAAAGCTAAGGATGCGGGATATATCACCTAGAAATATAGCACGGCATCCTCATATTGGTTGTAAAACTCGCATAATCTACTTTCTGGATACACCTCACGTAGAAGCCATATCCGTAAAGCTTGCAAATAAATTCAACATTTGCTTCCTCACAGACGCAAAAAAAAAAAACAGTGGACTTCCTTTTTTAGCTATCGGTACAGTTGACTCTAGAAAGCCCTACGTTGCGATCCATCATCCTAATGGCTATCCGAAATTGGCGAAGAGTGACTGACACTCTGGGAGGTCGACAGTTGCAAGTGATTGGAGGAGTCTACAAGTCTACTGGGGAATTCCACTCGAATGACGCCCCCTCGTGAATTCCAAGCAACGGACGACCTATTCACTTTCATATATCACTTGCCAATTTTTCGTTACCCCAGACACACATCGGGCCAAAATCAATGTACAACAGCACAAAAAAAGGCCCAGAATCATCAATAAAATAATATGAATACCGAGGAAACGATTGAACTCTGTACCATGAAAAAAAAATCTATTCAATTAAATAAATGTTTCGCACTATACGCGTAAGTTTCGCGTTATTGCCTGAAACGCAATAAACCCCAAACACTTGTGCGTGCTATTCGCATAAAACAGTGTACCCCAAGTATAGATTTTTTTATCCTGATGCACTGCCGATCGAAACGGCCGTTGGAATTGCATTTTTCTGATCACCTCATTTCCCTGTATTTTATACACCCATGAATAGCTTCGACTGCGTAAGAAATCGATACCAGAAGACCGAAGAAAGGAAGACAAATCGTGCATCACAATCGTAGGTAGACGTAAATCTTGGAGCGTTCAATTCTTTTCGTTTTATATTTCATCTTGTCTGATAATACGTAGTATTCATTGGCACTACTTCTCAAATCGCCCGATAGAACGATCTCATAAATTTCTATCATCTTGGTGATGCTCCGGACGAGCTTACACCGATGCTACGATAGGAGACCTGGATATTGAGGGCTTACGTTGCGATCTATTCATTGGCGTATCAAATCGATCCATGGCCAGTCGTTGCTTCTAGTTTGTGTATGAAATTCGATTGTATTCATTAAAAATTCAAGGAGAAGAGCAAATCAAATTCCGAGAGATGCATAGTCAATGCACTCTTCATCGGTATGAGTGGATCGTCATGTTTTATTTATGCACAAGCACCTAAACTTCCTTCCAAACTTCATTGTGGAAATAATGCAGGCTTGATCTCTAACCGCAGGAGGCTCCTTAGGGGCTTGAGACCACTGAACCGGAAGGAAATAACCTCTTTCCAGAAAGCTGAACCATTTGCAAAATGATGCCATTAACAGCTGCACTTGTTTCCCATATTCCTCTTACCACTTCACCTCGATCCTACCTCATAATTGAGGATCATTAGAAAACTGTTACTTGAAAGAGCATCTTCGATATTTTACACAGTTAATTTGAGATGAGATCCCCACTCGGTAGATTTTTATAGATCTTTCATATTCGTGTTAGTGGGTGGAGTATTTTTTTGTAGTTTTTATTATTCTCATTGACTATTATGTATGTGAACTTCATTTGAGTTTTATTCACTCAAAGGTCGGTGTTGCTGATTCACAAAAATAGTGGCCCATTGAAAGTAACGAGTACAAAGACGACAAACCTCATTTCAACTTTTCCCTTACTTTGAAACTGCATGAAGACCCATTTACTGGTGGGGAAACATCTTATTTTTGATGGTTGGAGAAAACTCTTGTGGTTACATGTCTCGTTTGTCTTTAACTGGGATGAGGAAATGTATAACTATTGCAGAAGCTCAGGGGAATGACTTTTTTTCTTTCAGAATCCTATCGTAACGTCAGGTGTATTTATGTACACCTGTTCACCCTAGCTAAAGATGAATCGTTTCTTCTTCTGTTCTCAAGTGCCATTTCTTTTTCAGTTCTCTTTTATATCAAAAGTTTAATGAAATAAAACATTTTTTTATTTCAGGCTTTCACACTTACACGCTCAATAATACATCTCACACGGATCGCATTGAGGATGAAATTCTTACCGTGAGGTATGAGGATGGTCGATGGTCAAAACCATATTATGACTGCGGTGGTGGAAACATCTGGATGCTGACATACACTGTACCTTTTTTTGGATACGCCAACGACTCATATTTCTTCAAGTACGTAATTAATATTATCTTACTAGCCGCTTTTGTTGCATGTGATTACTTGAATGGCACAATGCAAATAAATTCCGTAAGTTCTCGAGAATCAATGAGAACTCTTTCAGTATTCGTAAAAAATATTCCAAGTCGTTACGGAGTTGATTCAGATATCGTTCAACTGCACCAATACTGGTGAACGGAATATCTATGGAAGGAAAGTTCGCCAATTATAGTTTCACAGTCATTCAGAAAGTATCCCATAGCCTCGAGGGCGCGTACCTAATTTCGAAATAAACTCAATGGAATTCCTAACAGGATTACAGTCCTGGTGGGCTAATTGGGGCGGTTATAGATGCGATTAACTTTTGAATCTAAAATTCTGTAATCTTCAATGCAACATGTAGTGCACTGATTCAATTGCAAATGCAGATGCACATTTGTTTACTTCCAATAATGTGCAGAACTTTACTATTTGGGGAGATGCTGAATGGATCTTGTTTGGGTAATTAATGGAATCTCCGGGAAGAGCTGTTGATAGATTTCTGTTGGGAGCATTTTTTAAATCCCGAGCAGACCGTTTTCAATTGGATATTCAATTTAAAGTAAGTCGCAATTTCACAATTTGCGGTGAAATCTCTCCCTTCTCCGAATGCAAACAATTTACTGAATAAGAAAGTAAATTAGATCTGCATTTGAAATTGTACGAGAATGTCCAACGTCCTAGGGATAAAGTCTTCCAAAATATTTATTAATTAATCAACTATTTTCCTCGAACAGCCATTTGAATGGGGATATATTTTTTTTCTGGAATTTCTAGAATTTTTGGATTCTGGAATTTTTCTCTTTGTGAATATTCCCTGGCGCAATTACCAGGGCATGCACTTTTTTCTCCTTTTTTTTTACTCCTAAAGAGAGACGATACGTTTTATTATTAAATTTTTTGGTGTTCGGGTTTATTTTGCAAAATTCACAGAGTGCAATGGAGAATTCGTAGTAATCCGTTGCATTTTTTTTCACACTTGTTCGTATGCACTTTCTGAGTGCATACTAATGCTCACAAAAAGTGAAACCAACGAACACTGTGGCAAGTACTCGCATCGGCTCACGGGGTAATCCGATCTTCTTTTCCTTGATTCCATTTCCAATTAAATTTTTTAGTCATCATGTTTCTGTGAGATAAGAGCACTCATAAATCCTTGCTAAAGGCTCTCATAGTCTGTGTAATGAGATAAGCGTCGGAAATGGGAACTAAAAACTAGATAATATAAAATTCGATGAAATATATAAATATGAGGGGATGAATGCACTCAATAACAAAAAAAATTTGAGAAAGCACTGACGAACAATTTACAATTATTTCTCTGCAAACAATTCTATATCCCTCAGTGATTGATTTTCCCTCGGGAAAAATGGATTAATTGACCAACATCTCTCTTATTGAGGTACAATTGAAAAACAGTAATATCGCCGATTGCTATTCGTTGGATTGGGAGCCGTATATTTCAGAGAGTGAGAACTTCAATTCCAATCCCTGAAGGAGGAACAATTTCTCCACAAAAATTCGTTACCCTCTCTGATATGAAAGGTTTCTCCAACTATACAGTAAATATATATATTTCGTATATAAGAAAAAGATGGGATTGATTTTTTCTGAGTCGCAAGTGAATTTTTGCCGATTCGCTATTTATTTTAAAAAAATATTGTCTTTAGGGTACGCGTGGGTACTAGTATATTTAAAATAAGTATATTATATATTTATGACGTAGATCCTTGGATATGTATTGATTTAATGCAGATACCATGGGACTAAACAGTTTTTCAACAACTTTGAAATGAGGGAAGGGCAACTATTGAAGTTGTAGTACAAAGTACCCCATAAAATATACATCACACGGTGAAACGTGAAGATTACCTCATAAAGATGAAAAAGAAAGGGAAGGGAGGAATGAAGGAGTTGATGAGTAGTTGTTCTCTCCTCAATGAGAGGTCGTTACGATTTGAAAGTAGACGGAGGTATCTTAGAGTTCTCCAGGGATCCTGAAGACTCGAAAAATAATGGCGCGAATAAAGCATCACCTGAACATCTTTTCAAACAGTCAACTTTTGAAATTCAACTGGAGCAGGGGATCGTAAAGGAATATTATTCTCTCAGGAGTACAAGGGGTGGTGTCTTTCGGGGGATAATAGAAAATTGAGAAATTCATCATCTTGCAAATGAAGAATCGATAGATTAGGTGGGTCGTTTATTTGATGAGTTCATGAATATCGCAATATGGATGCTATGAGCTCTTATGTTAGAAATTATTGGTTACGTTCAGAAAATTGACATTGCGGAGGAGAATTTTTTTGTTATGGCTCATGGTTGTGAGGAAATGTCTTTTATATGTGCGTTTAAAGAGGATACAATTTTCTAGAGTGGAAAAACTTTTTTACAAGATTTTTCACGAGTGGAAGTTGAGGAATGAAAATTGAATGATTATAACTGTTTTTTTTTTAGATTAAGAATAGTGGGCATTTACTCGGTGCGGGTATTAATCTAGGAAGTTTAAGGTTGAGAATTTAGAAAATCAGAACATGCGGAATTCGGTTGGGATTTTAATTCATTGAATGGGTTGACACCTATCGGCATGTCAAATTCGCGAGTTCGATTTTTGTCGCCAATTGGATTACAAACTTGTCATGCTTGAAACCATTCACGTTTGTGGACATCAGTTGACTGGGGGAGAGGATTGATCAGATTTCTCGTGGTTTCAATTAATTCCTGATAAAATAAACCACGAAAAAAATAGACCCATGTTAATTTTCCAATAGTCTATCACTTTGGGTGGATTTTGAATTCAATTGAGAGACGAAAATAATTTTTTTTCAAATATCGATGAATATAATTTTTTTTCGAAAATCGATGAAAATAATTTTTTTTTGAAAATCGATGAAAATAAATTTTTTTTGAAAATCATTTTTTTGTGAAAATTCTTGGGAGAACTCGTGAGTTCTGAGGAGCGGACCTCTCTATGACTCCAAAAAAATATTGAATTCAATTGAGAGACGAAAATAATTTTTTTTCGAAAATCGATGAAAATATTTTTTTTTCGAAATTCGATGAACATAATTTTTTTTTGAAAATCATTTTTTTTGTGAAAATTCTCACAATTTTTAACTGAAATATGAGATTTAATATTTCCAATATTTGCATGATTTTAGAGGCACTAGTGGAATCGACATCGATTTACGTCGAGTTGATATCGATCAGTGTCCCGTACCACTCGGCTCTTCGGCAATCAACATTTTTGCAGCTAGTGACAAGTGCAAAAAACGCACTACCGAGGTACTTGTATTTTTTATTCCAAACTAGTCCAACAATGATCGAGTAAAAAAAAAACACGACTAACAGAGTATTCCATGACCTGTCAATTATTTTTCGAAAAAGCGATGAAAATTTATTTATTTCGCTCTCACCTCGTACGAAATTAATTCCACCAAGTGAATTAATCCCTTCAAAACACAAAACAGTATTTTTTTAAAACTATAGTGGAGTAGAAATAAATATGACCAATTAAAAATATTTCCGAACTTTTTGAAATTATTCGAGATCAACTGCATTATAAATTATAAATATTCAATCACCCGAAAATAATGTCATGCGATTTCAATCAAACGTGATACAATGGTTTCGGTAGTGAATATAGTCTTTTGATTTTAATTCATGAAACAAAAGCTTATATTTATGGATAACTTTCAATAATGGCTTTTCGTTCCAGTGCATCGCAATCCCTGGACTTGGATTTCGCCGAGGGAGTTACCGATGTGTTTGTAAACGTGGATTCTATTATCCCGACACAAAATCTCCAGAACGATATTACAATGGTACAGTTATCGAGGAGGAATTCGAAAAGCTCATGGTGGTAAGTCCCTGAATATTTGGTTTTTATATTGAAATCATTGGATTCACTCGAAATGTTTGAGATTCAGTCACGACGTCGCGGTGACGGGATTTCGTCCCACGGTCCTTGAAAATATTTCGAGATGTTTCGAGATATTTCGAGATCGATTTCCTGTCTCCTTTTTAAATTAGGATAAGTCATTTCCATGACAGATGTGGACTAATTAAGAAACACTATTAACTTATCAGGAAGTCAGTAAATCTCTCACTAATATCACTGACTAACTTCGCAGTACGCCTTCTCAATGTTTAAACTCACTTCTGGCGAATATCAATTCAGAATGAATATGGTAATACGAGAGATTCCATCTCTAACGAATATTTGCCTGAGGATGTGTTAATTTTCCGCTCCGTTGCATTTTCCGGGATAAAAATCGTGGCCATGGGTTTTCCAGTTTGAGAGAGATTTTTTTCTCTCGCCAATATTAACTAATAAATTGGTGGAAGCGTACGACTTTGAAAGCGTGGAGATGAATTTAATCATTGGTGTATTGTTACACAAAGAACGGCGGAAAACAGAGAATGAAGCAAATTTGTTTCGTCGAACTGTTTCATCTGCCCACAGTTGGCAACTGTCCGCTAAAATTTACGCCAGTGAATTCGCTGACAAAAACAATATGGTGGAGTAACTCTGCAGAACTTTAATCTCTATTAGACACACGAAGAATATTGCTGAAAAACCCTGTGCGCTTGGTAGAAAATTCCATTACTTTTATATTCCAACTCCATTGATGGTATCCCAATAAGGCAAATTGAATTGAACAGAAATATCAAACAGATACATACGTATACATATATTCGGTTCTCTTGCACCTAGTTAATAAGTCTTGCGGAAACTCTAATCCATCGAATGCATTTGTTAATAATTTTTCCCGGAATTCTGGAATGACCTCGAAGATTAATTTTCTCTATTGTTAATTTTCAAATTGTAAGTAGTCTAAAGAGTTTCAGGTTTAGGGTTGTTTTCTAGCTTAAGTGTATTAACAGAGGGGATACACGTGAATGGAAAAACAGATAATCCACTCGTTAGTTGGAGAATTCTACTCTCTGAAACCTTAAGTAATTTGATTTTCAAACATGCCTCCACAGAGAGTGCACAATGTAGTATTGTATTTCACTAGTAAACGAGTATCATAGGATCATGAGCATTAGATTATTTTTTAATCCATGTTTTCATTACAAATTTAATGAAGATATCAGGCAATTCCCGGAGATTACCTTCAAATAATTAATAATCAACGAAGCTAGGACGAAATGGTTGAATCAAGCTCATAAAATCATTAATAAATAATTATTAATGAATAAATAATACATATGCTAATTAAATAATTTAATTCCTGTACATATTCTCTCGGGTACGAATTTCCTTACATTTTTGTGTGTAGTAATTACTTGTCAGAAAGGTGAACAATTTGACAATAAATTATTCAACAAACTCATTCGGCGAATTAAAGTTTTGAAATGTTATCAAATATTTTTTGTCCTTACGATAACAGGTGTGGTGTTATTATATTAGTCTGGTGTTCGGGATATGTGGAAATAAAGGATTGTACGACAGCGAATGGCCCGCATAAACTTTATTGCACCATTAAAACATTACATATAGATCATTCGTCCAGTGACGTAATTGTTCTTTCGATACTTTATACCACGCTCGTTTCGTGGTATTTTATTGACGAATGTAATACCGCGAATGTAACACTGCGCTAGTTCATATGTTCACATGAATTTGTATCAACGTAGCATTTGATTTATTTTTCAGGTGTACTTGTAATTCATTTTAATTCGCTTTTTCTTATTCACTCGCTATTCTCTGATTTTTTACGTAAAATTTTTTAATTTATCGTGACAATTATCGATTTAAATATCGATTTTCGTTCTATCGGTGAGAAAGTACACATACTGCACAATTTTAAAGCCTTTCAAGCGGTTGTTATTTTATTTATCGGAATTCACATAGGAGTCTAGAGTGAGTTTGACTTATATACTTTTAACCTTTTCCGGGTAAAATCATGAGTTATTTGGTGCATTCCGCAGGATCACAGCATGTGGTATTTAATTGCGAAGTGAAGCACTTTACCACAGTAATTAATTGTCCAATTACTTCTGCCTCTGCTACCTGACGAGAATATCTTACAACACCAAGTTGTGAACTTCATTGCTATTACTGAATATGAATAAGTTGGAGGTTTAACAAGAAATCCTGCGCAGTATGCACGTTTACGATAAAAGCAATAGCCTGCCTGATATCTTCATCATGAAGTTTAGTACCAATAGGAATTCTCCAAATACCTGGATGCGCCAATACCAATTTTTCATCTTCGCATTCTTGAGGAAGAATAAAAATATCACTACAGTGGGTTACAGAATATTTTTTTAATGATAAATTAATTGTTTAATTGAAAATTCTCTGAGATAATAGTGGGACAACCAAAGGCACTCAGTTTTTGCAATGATCCTTGGGAAAACAAAACTTTATATCTCGACGTATATTGCATTTTTCTGCAGTTTAATCATTAAATACTGCGTAATAAAATATTTATGATATTCAGCAATAAAAGTGATGATGAGCTCGATGATAAAAATATCACACTCACCACAGGTAAACGCTTTATGATCCCTCGTTGACGAGCTTGTTGAATATCTTCCCTTATCGCGGATGAAATGAAGTATTTTTTGCCTTGAATTTTTTTATTTTTATTATTTATTTACGTACCCTGTATCAGTCCTTGCAGATTGCAATAAAAATCAAAATTCACTCTATACCCATGTCAATAGTCGATCGCTGCCATTTAATTTTTAAAATTACAGTCCGATTGAGACTTTTATTCAATTCGGTTTATTGTAAAAAATAGCAATAAAATTCAGACTCTTGGTACATATGCAGGCTTCACTGCATTGCATCGCAATAAAAACTCCATTTCGAATCCCATAAATTATTAGTTATTCCAGAGAACAATCGACGGGCTGTGCATTTTTTTTTTTCAATAATTTTCATTTCGTCTTAATTGGAGAGAATTATTTTCATTTTTCTTTCTCAATACACGTTTTGTTAGACTCTGCCGACCGTTTCTCCTTATTCATTGTAGAAGAGGGAAGCAATCCTAGAAGATTTCCTCTGGAGAATCAGTAATCCTCTTGAGGAGTTTCGTACTACCCGGAAGCACTGCCATTCCCATAAACCAACCTCTGTACAACCTATTGGAAGCTTCAGAATTATCCCTGAAGAAAATCTGAGAGAATTATATCTACATCCATATCTATCTCACTATTTTCAACTCACGTTGATGGTTATGCTGAATTATTATTGAGAGAACTGTTCATACAAAAAAAAAAATCTGACCACGAAAAAAGTGTTCTGTACACGGGGAAAATAATTCCTGTAATTCTGAAGCCAAATGTCATTACTCGAAAAATAAAGGAAAAAATATGAAATATTATGAGAGTAACGTTAAGGGAACGAATTCGAGTTCTGGATATGGGTGCGATATAAAATAGTACATATTCAAATTTATACATGGTCTCGAAGGTCCCACCATTTTGAGAAATATTGTGATATCACTCAAGTGGTACGATAAAGCTTTCATCAGCCCTCGCAAACAGAAGTTCGCCATGCATTGCAATTCCAATTTTCGAGGTACTAAAACAACCCTGAAATATCCTTCAACAGAATTTCTAAGTGTACCGTAATAACCATCTGATGTACAACATGTCATCCATGTAATTAGCAGAGGCCAGAAGTTAGTTTGTATATAAATGCAGTGGCTGGTTAAGCCACACTAACATTAATTATGGCCAAACTGGCGTGAATGAAGTCCCTCGGAATGATTTTACAGTTGTCACATGGGTGAAATGACACTTGATACTGTGGACCCGACCATGATAGAATGTTAAATGATCGTACGTGACGCTCGGCTAGCGTTACATACAGTAGAAATATATCGTCTAGATATACCCCGTGAAAGTTGCTAATTTATGAATCCCAAATGACGGCTCCCGTGGTCGGGAATAATTATTGCGGTAAGCCATGTTTCATTCAATATATCGTCCGCAATCGGGGAGCTAGTTTGCTCTGATGCATTCTCATATTTTTTATTACATTATCCTCGCGGCATGTGCTTTACTCTACTTGCTCTCCGACTGAAGAGATGATTTTTGGGAGAACTCAACAAGCTCAGATGACGTCAGAGGAAACCATGAAAGAAAAACTCATGGTACTTGAGATACCCTTTGTCAAAAGCCTCTGTCCAAAATTCATGAGGGATGGACCACTCGAAATAAATGTCCAACCCCAACTGAAACTCAAGCCTTCATCTTTTTGGGTTCAAAGCGGTTTTTAATGTCATTGATTCCTCACTACTAAGACAGTTTCAAGGGGAAAATTTAATTTCATCCAATCAATAATAATAATAATAATAATAATAATAATAATAATAAGTGCATCGGCTGAATTTTCCCTGAGTTGAATGATAATTTTTTGGGGCGCCGATGTTGAGACAAAAAAATTTTAAAAACCCACATGAAAATTGTTCACCTTCAAAAAGTATGTGAAATTAATACAGAATCATATGGTAACTATATATGGAGGAAGTTTCCATTGGAAAAAATGATAACAATCATTTGGTCGGATTGTTCGTTGGTATTATGGAGTTTCTCAGCGAAGTAGGATGCCTCATAATTTTCAATATGGCCGAAAGGGGAAGTTTTATGGTTTAATTTGCTCTCGGTTTCAGGGGGAGGACAGCCAATATTCACTGGATGGTGTTTTCGAGTGTCTACCATGTGCTGAGGGTTGTGAATCATGTAAGGATGGCTCACCCTGCGTCGTATCCCTAAATTGGCTCATGAGAACTGCTATTCTCATACTGGAATGCTGCATTATTGCCTGTTTACCAGTCGTCATTCTCTTCACATGGAAATTCGGCAACGTCAAGGTCGGCAAAACTTGAAATAATCAGACTTTATCAAACTTTATGCATCTGCTTCCCTTGAGAAGTTTATTACCCTGAAAATATCTACGAAAAGACTAATCATGGGTAGAGACAGGGGATCAGAGTGGAGTGAAATTTTAAACAATTGTCAAATGTCAAGGTTACGGTGTCTAACTTTGCTGAGTTTAGATTCACGACCTGGATACCACGCGATTGCTCCATAACTGCTTGACGCTGTAATCTTCGAGGTGCATTATATCGAGTTCAATCGATCGTCATCGAGTCTTTTCATCATGAACAATGCCAGTATTCAGTTTCGAAAAATCACGTCAAGCACGTACTCATTGAGCACGTGTGAATAATTATGAAAAATATATCAATCGTTTGGTTTATAAATCAGTAATTAATAGGTAGAATAATTAATAGAATATATCAGGTAATATCGTGACGTCAACGAATTTATCTATCGATACGCCTAATTTACTCCAGTGTATTTCATTTTTTATTTCCATTTAACGGGAATGTTATACCTTTGAAAACTAGGAGACACGTAATTGGAGAACTTTTTCATACGCGTGGTCGCTGTTGCATTAATTAATGCCATTCTCATCTCTATGAATTATGATGTTGATAACTAGAATGAGAGCGGATTGTTTACGAAGGACTGACATAAATCAAATCCTCTAGTGTCTGACCATCACTCGAAAACCTGCGGAATGCAACTGGTATGTTGTTTCGTAGTATTTTCGTCGGTCTCTTGAAATACATTTGTGCTGAATATCCACTGTGAATTTTCCTGCTGTAAAATTGTTATGGAAAATGCCTGTTATTTTTTATTCACACCGGAAATTCATCATTTTTTAAATGAAAAAAAAAAAAGACCATTCTGTATTCCATCACACACCGTGTCACACGATTTCCATTCCACACATTTTTCGTACTATGAAAAACAATGTTTCAGCCTGAAGAGTTACACAGACGTGTCATTAAATCGAATGCAAAAATGTTTTTTTAACAAATTGAAATTTTGTGGGCAATTAATTGATTATTTTTTGGAGGTGAATTTGTTTCACTGAAAATTATTAAATGTCGAATTGCGTGTGGAAAATCTCATGGCGTTTTGGAGGATTTTTTTTGGGCTTTTTAATGATCCTGAAAAATAAAACGCAACAGCTGGTCCAATTTGGGAAATCTTTCATTTCTCTCCATTTTTCATACTTATTCCATAAATGAGGAAAGGCATCAGTGAAGAATGGGAGTAAATATGTCTGATGGAAGAAGCGACGGCGAAAGAGGGTTGAAAAAGTAGAAAAGTAAAGTTCCAATTTTCTCCAACTTTTAAAGTGACCGCTCTGAATTTTATTAAATAATGATATTACTCCTCAAAATATTATAAAATAAATCTACATCATTTAGATTATCGATTATCAAGCAAGAATCGAGCATTGAAATAGGAGGATTATTAAATAATTTAAGCATCTAGCTAATTAAAACATTTTCCTTCATGTCTGAACCTTTTACCACAACATCTCTCCGGATAATGAATAGTCGTAAACGCTGACAGTACTCCGATAAAATATTCTCTATCAACTTCCCACAGAAGTTTCTCCGCTTTCAAAAAGGCGAGATAATGAGCTGTCTTCGATTTGAAAATGATCATAAAATAATTCACTCGTGAAATATTCGTGCGGAAAAAATTTCGGGCATACATTTACGATGACGTATTTATTCCCCGGGTACATCGGCTGAACCAACCGCGTGGAAATAAATGAATAAAAACGTGAGCTCATGACAGATGAATAAATCTATAATTTTTTATCGCTTATTCCAGGATTTTGAAACATTGGATTCGGCTTACCGTACAAAAAGCCGATTTTTTTTTCTTTATTCTACACTAAGGCAGTCTCAACCCTCCGCGGTGAAAACCGGAACAATAAATCTCCGAGGATTTATTTACGAAGAGCTAAGTGGAGGGGGAAAGCCTGTTATTGAAGCTTATAGTTTTCCGCAATTTTAAATTATCCAATTCCCAATCAATTTTCTTTAATAATCTTCATCACCCTTTTCCGTTGTTTCATTTATCGAAGTCTAGACTTCTCTCGGTTTCACAGCTACTAGTTTCAAAACGAAATAAACAAATATTCTTGCCAATTAATATTCCCTAATTCACTGGCTCGTAAATATAATCGGATTAATTAATTAATTCGTCGGGTTGAACTCCATAAAAATATCGTACGCTCCGCTTTAATTTCGTACCACTTACTTATGGACATCTTAAAGATAGTATCCGCGGGGGTTTAAAATTACAATTAAAGTAATCCTTCTGGATGTTACGACATTGGTTAAAGTTTTCGTAATAGGACCTAATGATGCGCCATAGCAATTATTTCAGATCGTGCAAGTGTTGTAATATCAGTGAGCACACAACGTTCCATTCAATGGAGAATCAATTTCAATTTTATTATGAGCACATTCTTCCATTGTTTCTCCACGAAATTGGAATTCACTTACAATAGAAATTTCGAAAGCTATTACAATACCCATAACCAACACTCGAAGTTAACGCAAATAGCGTGGCCACTGGAAATAAAAATTTTCAACATCGCGGGTTGTCTTGATAATTAATGCTGACTCTCGGGGTTCTTCTCCAGCCGTCATCCATTCTGAAATTATCCGTGCTGTAAAATATCATGATGGAAATAATTCTTATCTCGCCATTGAAATATTCATGCAGTCACGAAAATGTTGCTTTTACGCTGCAATAGATCGAGATTTCTCCTGAGAAATCTGCGGATGTCGGAAAGAAAAATGGCACTTTTTAAAAAAAATTTCACACTAAACGCCATTTTACACGGGGAAAAAGTCGACGGAACACGAACTAATTTTGCTGGACTTGCAGCCAGTGTGATGGAAATGAATTGATTCGCTCGTTTCAATACTGGTGAAACTCATTAATCGTAATTGCAGTTTCTCGAACGAATTCGTGGCTAATCATCCATGAATCAAAAGCGAGCAAAGTTAACTGGATAGTGGCGTTGAGAAATGCAAGCTCTCATTGTTCCTATCCTGAAGTCGCTGCTCATAATTCACGTGGGGAATTATTCATAATCGTCCGTTCGGACACTCATGATCGATGGAGTTATCCGTCTACATATTTCACTGATAAGTCGAATTCATCCACATCATTTACTGCCCATGTTTGCATTTTTTTTATTCGGAATTTCACACTGGGAAAAGTGTAACAACCCTCTGTAATTACCCTCTAACGAAATAATATGTACACAAAAATAAAAAAACACATAACAATCTAAGAGTTTCGGTAAGAAACCATTAATTTAATTAAAAATATACTTGTAAATGAGATCATACCTTTTGACTACGCACGAAGTATATGTGTCTTTTTTTAAAACTATTAATCAGCGCCCACGTTTCAGACAGATGAAAATATAATTAATATGGTTCATAATTACTCAAGAGGACTTTAACCAGGGTCCTCTAGACTCGAGTGAAATTTAATTTCCTTGGAAATTGCATTTCATTAAAACTATTAAGCTTTCTTTTCATCCCTTTAAGAGCTCAAAGGAAAATCGAGTTTACTCGTAATTTTTTCTTAGTTTTACTGCGAGAGCATCAGCTTTTACCAGGGCCGTTGCGTTTTGGAAACATAGGGTGATTATATAATCGTGGGTAAAGGGCCGTGTTACCGGTATTAAAGGGAATATTTTGTGGAGAGTAATGGAGCAAGTGCATTCACTCAGCTGTCATTTTTCACGAGATGATAAATTAATTAAAACAGTAGCTGATGAAGATGACATACATCTACCTTTCTCTATAAATATTTTCCTGAATCTCTTGAAAATCTCGGCCCACAGAGTAGTCATAGCAAGAGCCCACAATACTCCACTATATTCGTATCACGTAAACATGACTGAAAGCCTGCATTGTTGACACTGTATCCACTTCGATCAGCCATAACATTCGGCGAGTTACACCACCGGAAACCTGACATCGACGGACTTATGTCCAACAAGTGTCCATGTACATGACCATTGGCCACCGAACTGACGTAGCTATGTGAAGTTGGCATCGAAGTTTGAAAAATCTAACTTTTTTTTGTTGGTTTGGATTGTACTCATTGAGTACTTGAATGTACCCTGTGCACTTTTTTTT